AAATAATAATAAAATAGGTAGCCAAAGATCGTGAAGACTATTTTGCTCTATCAAATGATGATAAAAGTATAGTTACTGCTAGAACTAGGTAGGCGCTGGGCCTGTTGAAGAAACATGATGATGAACGAAAATAAGAAATCTCGGTTGGCTATTCGCCGGTTCTCTAATTTGGAACGCTCTGGATAGCTGAAAGCGGCACGAATACCGAAGATAGAGCGACTATATATACTATCCTGAAACTGCACAAAAAACATTAAATTCAGATTTATTAACAGTTCAGTAAACTCTGCTGTCAAACCATTTGGTTTACTTCTCAATCTAATCTAAATTGTCTTAGCCAATAATATTAAAATCAATTTGGATAATTCTCCTAATAAAGCCCTTTGTTAGTTCAGCGGTAAGTCAGAGGGGTTATCTCGCTAAACATCGGGTTTCTATAGCGTTGGTGGGCACAACAGAAATAGCTCATTGTGTAGCATTACGCTTACTACTAAAGGAACTCCTAACAAACTTTAGTGAATTATCAACAATAATAAAATATACTACACTGTCTTAATAACTACATGTTTCTAGTATCTTTTCGCTTATTTCTTCTAATTTTAGTATTATTTTCACTACAATACCGTTGACGAATCTTATTAAAGTCTTTAATCTTCTTTTCGATCATTATATAAATGATAGTTGTAAATTTTCCCACCGACTAAAGAAGATTGCAAAAATATTTCAGTTACTATATAATTACATCAAATTTAACCATACTTATAAACAACAAATAGGAATTCCGATGGGCTCTATCTACTCATGGAATGTAGCTAACATGTATTTTTTATTATGAGTGTTTATTCATCTCAAAATTTGGATCAGTATGTATTGCTTTACTTTTCGTTACACAGACGACCTAGTTTCTTTCAAAAACCCAAGCTTAGAACTAAATATATATATATATATATCTATAACTCGTGGAAATGGAACTTGATATGACCAATGAAACGACAACGTATTCCTTTTTTTTATATTTAGATATCAGTAATCAGTGATACCTTGATTAAAGTTGTAATTATTTCACAACTGAAAAGATTTATGCTAATCTGTAATAAGTGTGAATATTCTTTATTCCGTGTCAAGTTATTAATTCAGTAGTTATAGCTTTCCCAATATAATCAAAATCTACAGATTACTTTTCAATAAATATAACTTTGCACTAGATAATTATGATCCCATTTCGATTCCAAAAGACATGACTATCACCTACAAAACAAGTTCTTCCCGCTCTTGAATTTGTTGACCTCTGTAACCTTAACTGGCACTGGCTATATTCAAGGACGATTTGGACATTTTATCACTTAATTCTATCTCCCATTCTAGCATTCGCCGATAATCTTAAGAACAAGTACGATCTTTTTATTTTCTTACCATTGTTCTAAATTGGTTTAGTTATTTATTTTACTTTCTAATGCATGTAAATATAAACAGGAAATACCAGCTTCTAAGTTTTAGATGACTGAAATATACTTACTTTTGCCCATACTTTCTAAACGTTTCTTAAATTTATAGTGTTTTATTTCATTTTCCTCCTATGATTATTTCATTGTTCCATTTTCTTTGGCGCATTTCTTTTAACTTCGTATTCGAAGGAGGATGGCCTGCTTTTGGTTATGTATGGTTGGGAAACATAATTTTTTTTTTATTTTTCGTTTACTTTTCGTATCTTGTATATTACTTCTGTGCTATTTGTATTGTTACGTCTCCGTTTGTTAATTAACTTTCCGTAACTTCGTTCCGACGAAACTTTAGCGACACAAGTCCCTACTGAATAAAACTGGTTTATTCTTTCCGAATATAACTTTACGATACACTTAATTTCAACAATCGCGCTAAAACAAACGCTATAACAACGAACGTGCTCAATAATACTCTCTGACTGCAGATCAATTACTCACTGTCTACACACACACATTATCATTCTGTCACGTTGTCACCCTCTTTTATATACCAGACTACCCTATATCTAGTAAATGCTAGAGCATTCGGCAAGGTATAGGATAGTTCTAGAAAGCAGAGGGCGTGAGAATAGTCACGTGATCTCGCTGACGCAACACTGCCCCCTCCTTAATATTGTTCGTCCCGAACAATAACCACATACAATAAACCAATAACAATTAACAATAACTTAATTAACTGTACAGAATTACAAACACAAAATTACAATTCAACAAAGTCTCTTAATTTTACGGACGTATTTTCTTCCGTACTGGTCTCCGTCTCGTTGGCTTCTGCTTCATGTGGGATTCATCTGCTTCATCAGTAAATGTCCTATCATCGGTAACAGTCACATCAGTGGTAGTAACTTCATCAAGAGCTTCACCGTTTCCCTTCTCAAAACTGAGTAGAGGTTCTTCTTCGATAATGGCTTCTTCAGGTGGCACGTCTTCAGCAGCGTCATTTGTTCTGTTGTCCACTTCATCCCAACTGAAATGTCCTGGACCGCGATAACGCCAAAGCCTGTTGGCATGCACCACTTTTGGCTTACCTCGCCGACCATATTTTATCCGGAAAGTCACGTCTGAGAGACGATCCACTATCTCATATGGGCCTTCCCATGGAGAAGACAACTTAGGAGACTTCCCTTTGGTCTTCCTGGGATTATACAACCATACCTTGTCTCCTGGTACAAAGCTGACTTCAGTA